TGGCGAGGTACGAGGACAGTCACAGCAGTTACGTCATTGTTATGCACAGGAGAGAGGTTCCATTTTTAGTACAACAGATTTGAATTCGGTAGAGGACAAAAAGCTACACTCTGACTTTTTCCCCTTTTTCCTTCATAAATTAAAAATTAAATATATAATTACTGTCATAGACATATCAAAGTGAAACGGATGTTGCTCAACATCCTGCCAAATTTAAACTTAAAACTTTGCTTCAACTATGTAATCCATCTACATATGTTCTCTTATGTTTGTAGGAAAGAAATCAGTCGGATATTAAAGAGCTCCTACTTACGAGGACTCAACATGGCTTCTTTCTTTGCCAGCAGCAAGCTCATAATCTTTGTTACCTTCACGGTCTACACTCTTTTGGGGAACACTATGACTGCCAGCCAGGTGTTTGTCACCATGTCCCTGTATGGTACAATTAAGGTCACCCTGACCCTGTTCTTTCCTCTGGCCATTGAGAAGTTGTCAGAGACTGTGGTGAGCATTCGCAGGATTAAGGTAATTAATTTCTGTCATAAACTGTAGGAAAAGTTGGCAATCCAGTAGTCATGTCCAAGATAGACAAGCAATTTCCAAAGCTGGTGTAAAACCATGTATATCATTTTCCCAGAATTTTCTCCTACTGGAAGAGATTGAGAGAAAAAACATTATGTTGCCTTTGGCGGAAAAGGGGGAAAACTCTATTGAGATCGAGAAACTGACCTGCTACTGGGATAAGGTAAATAGTGTAATATATTTCGTAGCGGTGTAACATATTGTTGTAGAACAATGACTGTTCCTGCAAACTTTATAGTTTGATGTAGTACTTGCTGCCATTTTTGTCTTTGTGTAGAGTTTGGATGCACCATCTCTTCAGAATGTTTCCATCACAGCAAAGTCACATCAACTTCTGACTGTAATCGGACCAGTGGGGGCCGGAAAGGTCAGTAAACTTGTGTAATCTATCTTAGCATCCACCCTAAGATTATAGGAGTCTTTAACCTAATGGTTTATTACCGGATTCTTATACACTGCTCAACAAATAACCACTTTAATAACATATCAGATCTCAATGGGAAAACAAATCATCATTACTGATGTGCACTGAGTAATATGTTAGGTAGTGCAACCTGGCAACATTGGATGAACTGAAACGTAATGTCCCAGAGGTGTTCTATTGATTTAGGTCAGGTGAGTGTGGGTGCCAGTCAGTGGTATTAGTTCCTTCGTCCTTCAAGAACTGCCTGCATACTCTCACCACATGAGGTTGGACATTGCTGTGCACCAGGAAGAATCCAGGACCCACAAGCATATGGTCTGATAAAGTTCAAGGACTTTATCACAATATCTAATGAAAGTCAGGGTGCCGTTGCCTAGCCTGTAGAGGTTTGTGCATCCCTCTATCAATATGCCAGTGACTCACCACCAACCC